CGATTAAGTAGTTTTTGTGGCCCAAAAGTCAGGACACAGGGTTATTTAATTTGATCACATCATAGTTTTTTTTGCATTTATTTTAACACATGTTCAAACTGACTTCGATTAGCATTAATGCACGCATTAATTATTCCTTAAGGTAATATTGTCATTTTTTTCTATGGGGTTACTTAAATCCGACGCTTACAAAACTCGACCAAGACCCAGGAATGACTTGAGACAAAACTGAATTGATGAATGTTCAAAGATGACACAACTGTGATCTTTTCAAAAGTCCTGAATTCATTTCAAAACAGAATTCGTGCGTGGATTAATGTTAATGGCAGTCAGTTTGAACATTTGTTAAAATAGATTCTGCAACCCTATGTGATTTGTTAAAATAAATATAATCCTATGTTCTTTGGTTCTTTCGGTAAAGTTACTTAGATAGAAATAAAATAAAGTTAAAAAACACTAATGTAGACTGTAGCCTGGTTCTTAATCGGAGTGAGTGTACTGGCAGTCTATAATGTAGCCTGTAGCAATGGTTATTTAGCTGGGTGAGTGTACTGGCAGTCTATAATGTAAACTGTAGCCTGGTATCTACCGACTCTGCAGTAGTAACTACTGACTCTACAGTCGTATCAATTGACTCTATCTTAGTATCTACTGAGTCTACAGTATTATCTACGGACTGTACAAGTATCTACTGACTCTACAGTAGTATCTACCTACTCTATAATAGTATCTACTGACTGTGTAGTAGTATCTTCTAACCCTAAAGCAGCATCTAGTAACTCTACAGTAGTATCTACTGAGTTTACAGTAGTATCTGACTCTACAGTAGTATCTACTGACTCTATAGTAGCATCTACTGACTCTACAGTAGTATCTACTGAGTCTACAGTAGCATCTACTGAGTCTACAGTAGCGTCTACTGAGTCTACAGTAGCATCTACTGACTCTACAGTAGCATCTACTGACTCTACAGTAGTATCTACAGACTCTATAAGTATCTACCTACTCTATAGTAGTTTCTACTGACTATACTAGTATCTACTAACTGTATAGTAGTATCAACTAACTGTATTGTAGATCCAGATTTGTTTCAACATGGTACACAAAATCCGTGATTTGATCCCATCTGTAAAGGATGCGATTCCTGACATGCAATATCGTGGTGTCTACAAACTAAGTTGTGGCTGCAGCAGCAGTTACATTGGAGAAACTAAACAACATGTCTTGGACCATATTCACAAACACAAGGCAGATCTGAAGCATGGAAGGACGAATACCTCTGCCGTTGCGGATCATTGTTTAAACGCTGTGGGCACACACAAAATTGAATTTTCTAAAAACGAAGGTACTCTGCAAACCCACTGGCTATCATCAGAGATTTGTTCATGAAGCCATCCAGATATATAAACAGACACAACTTCAACCGCGAAGATGGGTACAAATTGAGCAATCATTGGAATGACGTGATTAACCAGGTAAGTCTTATACTGGTAGGAACGAAGTTGTAAACTGAGTGTACCAGCCTGCAATATATTAATGTGTCCGTCCGTCCGTCCTCTTTCAATACTTTAACGAAGTGAAATCTCGTGCTGTTGGGTGTAAAATCAGCAATAGACAGCGCAGAGACTTGTCCTACCAGCCCACCCTGCAGGGACCTGCACCTGCTGTGATGTTTTCATCCTTCCTGCGATTTTAGCTGACTCTCTGAGTTACATTATTAGGTTGGATGTCTTTGGCTTCATAGTAGTATCCACTGACCCTGCAGTAGTATCCACTGACCCTGCAGTAGTATTTACTGACTCTACATTAGTATCTGACTTTATAGTAGTAGCTACTGACTGGAGTAGTATATACTGACCATAGTAGTATCTGACAGTAGTAGTATCTACTGACAGTAGTAGTATATACTGACTCTACAGGATTATCTACTGACTCTAGTAGTATCTACTGACTCTACAGTAGTACTCATAAAATCGTATAGTCGTGTATCTACAGTAGTATCTACTGACTCTAGTAGTATCTACTGAGCACAGTATTATCAACTGAGCACAGTAGTAGTACCTACCGACTCTACAGTAGTATCTACTGACTCTACAGTAGTATCTACCGACTCTACAGTAGTATCTACTGACTTTACAGTAGTATCTACTGACTCTACAGTAGTATCTACCGACTCTACAGTAGTATCTACTGACTCTACAGTCGTATATACTGACACTACAGTAGTATCTACTGACTCTACAGTAGTAACTACCGACTCTACAGTAGTATATATTGACTCTACAGTAGTATCCACTGACTCTACAGTAGTATCTACTGACACTACAATAGTATCTACTGACTCTACAGTAGTATCTACTGACTCTACAGTAGTATCTACTGACTCTACAGTAGTATCTACTGACTCTACAGTAGTATCTACCGACTCTACAGTAGCATCTACTGACTCTACAGTAGTATCTACTGACTCTACAGTAGTATCTTCTGACTCTACAGTAGTAACTACTGACTCTACAGTAGTATCTACCGACTCTACAGTAGCATCTACTGACTCTACAGTAGTATCTACTGACTCTACAGTAGTATCTACCGACTCTACAGTAGTATCTACCGACTCTACAGTAGTAACTACCGACTCTACAGTAGTATCTACTGACTCTACAGTAGAATCTACTGACTCTACAGTAGTATCTACTGACTCTACAGTAGTATCTACTGACTCTACAATAGTATCTACCGACTCTACAGTAGTATCTACCGACTCTACAGTGGTACCTACCGACTCTACTATAGTATCTACCGACTCTACAGTGGTATCTACCGACTCTACAGTAGTATCTACTGACTCTACAGTAGTATCTACTGACTCTACAGTAGTATTTACTGACTCTATAGTAGTATCTACTTACTCTATAGCAGTGTCTCGTGACTCTGCAGTGGTACCTACCAACTCTACTATAGTATCTACCGACTCTACAGTAGTATCTACTGACTCTACAGTAGTATCTACTGACTCTGCAGTAGCATCTACTGATTCTACAGTAGTATCTACTGACTCTACTATAGTATCTACCGACTCGACAGTAGTAACTACCGACTCTACAGTAGTATCTACTGAGTCTACAGTAGTATCTACTGACTCTACAGTAGTATCTACTGACTCTACAGTGGTATCTACTGACTCTACAGTAGTACCTACTGACTCTACAGTGGTACCTACCGACTCTACAGTAGTATCTACCGACTCTACAGTAGCATCTACTGACTCTACAGTAGTATCTACTGACTCTACAGTAGTATCTACTGACTCTACAGTGGTATCTACTGACTGTACAGTAGTACCTACCGACTCTACAGTAGTATCTACCGACTCTACAGTGGTATCTACCGACTAAACAGTAGTAACTGCACACATTGGGTGGGGGAGGGGGACAAGAGAACATCACACTGTTCAGGATTTACATCAGTGTTGTGCTTCTCTCTCCAGTCGCGGCTCAGTGAGGTGGTGTGCATTGCTCGGGGCAACCGCGAGTCAGCATTTCCGCGCATGCGCAGATGCGTGCTTTGTGTAATAATAAATTATTATTGGTTCATATTCTTAGCTCTTTCTTCTCCCCCCTCCTCTTTTCAGAACATAGATGGACTAGTCCTTCTAAATAAACTGCCAAATCGCTGCGCGTGGCGCTGACGTTTTAAATAAATAAATACACCGTTTAAAAATAAATAAATTTATGCAAACCGACACACCTGATGACGACCGTTTGTGTTATGGTCGAAACGTCGTGAGAACTTTTATTGTTTAATATATATTTTATTATTTTATTGTTTCCCTTCTACGTGACTTTACCGAACGAACCAAGAATATGAATCCCTGCGGTCACGAAAGCTTTAAATCAAAATGTAATAATAAATTATTATAAAGAGTGATTTTATTAGTTTACATTTGACCCGAGGGCAAAACAAATAGCACATTTTCGTGCGGGGGGGCTTAGTGTGTTGTATCTATGTACTTTGTTGAAACGTAAACCCAGCAGCTTGTCAGTTAAAAGCTTTGTAAGGCGTGCGCAGACAGACAGAAACAGACAGAGACACAGGCAGACAGACAAAAATGACGTTTATAGGTAACGTTAGTTGTTCATCATATAAAAAATGTTTACACTTGTATAAAAAATAGTCACCAGAAAGAGACTCCTGTAGTCAGGGACGCGAATGTTAGGGCAACATCTGGCACGTGAATGTCACCGTGTAGCGTAAACAATGTTGGGTCTCTTGTGTATTTATGTGTAGTGTAATAGCGCTGGCTGGTGTCCAGCAGCAGAAACTGTGGTGGACAAACAGTACACACGTCGGTGAGCATATGCACGGGTGTGTCGGCAGGGCGGATGATCTGGGAATCTGCTAGTGAGTTCGAGAAGGGAGGCGCGGCCAGGGCGGAGCCAGGCCGCGCTGATAGCATAAAAGGGTACGAGAGCAGGAGCTTGAGGCTGCCGGTTTTGGGGATTGGATCGTCACGTTGCTGTCGTCTCATCGCCATCGTCGACTTCCGTCTTCACTCGATATTGCGCTGCTGGATAGCCTGTTAGCTGTCTCGGTCAGCGCCATTGATGTTAGATGGCTGGTGTTGTGTATAGGCTAGCGACTGTCGAGTGGGCAGGCGAGATCATGTTTGTTCAATCAAGAAGGTGCCATAATAGGGGTTTTCCCCTTTTTTCTGGCAAGAAAACTGAAACCTTTTTACAAGGATTCATGTCTGCATTAACCACAATACCTGCAGTCAAAATGCATTACTTTGATAGTGCATTGTCTTTGAGCTGTATGCCTTTTGGCGTCATGTGGTCGAGCACCAATTGGGTCGAGGCTCAAAAGAAAGCCGTCCCTTGGTGTGGACCAATCAGTTTCAAGGACAATGCATATATTATCATAGTATGTTTTTTGTTTGCGTTTTGACTGCAGGTATTGTGGTGAATGAAGACATGAATCCTTGTAAAAAGGTTTCAGGTTTGTTGCCAGAAAAAAGGGGAAAACCCTATTATTACATTTTGGTACTGGCAAAGGAGGTCTAATGATGATAAAGAAGGTGCCTCTACAAACCTCGTCTCCGTCTCACTGACACTACTGTGCTAATTGGAGGTGCGGGGGAAGGACAACAAAGAGTCTTTGCAGTAAAGTTCGTAAATCTCGAGTACATTTTGGCGAGGTACCACGGTACGCTTAATGGGACTGGGCATCAATGAGTTGAGTACATTATAGCGAAAGTGCGGGAGGGTGTAAATCGGGGTATTACTGTAGCTCCATAAAATAAAATTATTCTGCATATATGCGTCTCTCCACGTAAACAATAAAACGTTCTTCCTACACAACCTGTCATCTCCACGACCTTTTGGGCGTGCATATACTTTCTGCAACATTGATTCTGTAAAAGCAAATGCAATCCTGAACCGATGTTGACAAACAGTGGCAAAGCAGAGTCACGCTCGCTTGAATGAATGCTGGTGAACTGTCAGATGGTGTTGACAAACAGTGGCAAAGCAGAGTCACGCTCGCTTGAATGAATGCTGGTGAACTGTCAGATGTTGTCGGAAAATGTTGCTTGTTTTGTATCACTGCTGATAGAATTATGATTGAAGTGGAGAGACAGATATATGAAGAATTTACAGGGTGTCCGGAAATGTATATACCAAAAAGAACATTGAATAGCTTAATTGTAATTGTAAATACTGACATAAATTTAATATGAGTACATATGAAATGTAATTCGAAATACTGGTATTGATGAGATGTTCTCAATTTTTGAATAAACTTCTAAATGTAGTCCATCATTCAGTGTCATCAATCTAATTCGGCGTTCACACTGAGAACACATTTTACAAGACCGCTGTAGGGATGGATGATGACACGGCATCATCAATAATGCGATGTTTAAGTTCTGCAAGGTTCCTTGGTTTAGCTAGTTGTAGACGTTACTTTAAAGAAGAGATTAAAAAAATATCTAATGGCATTAAGTCGGGTGAATGGGCGGACTGATTATATCAGAAAATGAGGTTTCTGCTGAAACAGAGAGAAAGTACCAATCTAATATTCACAACAAACTTATACATATAATGCATATAATTAAATTAAATGTACCTCGAATAACACTGAAACTATTCAACTCTCTTTCGTATATTCATAGTCCGGTTATTTTTTGCGACATGGGTAGTTAACACATATACGTTATGCTGAATGGTCGAAATACGACATTTTCAATTAATTGGGCTACATTCTGACAATTATAAATATACAGCATGGTCTGTTCGTCACCTTTGCTGCCCGTCCACCTTCTGTATCCACCACCCACCCCACGCTGCTCATCCGCTGGGCGTACGCACCATGTGGAGGTCCGGGCAGACTTTGTGTGCCAGGCGGTAGTTGGCGCCCTGGAATGCGACGTAGATACAGAAGGCGCTGATCGGCTTCGAGCAGATCCACGACACGTGGCTCTGAACCTGCTCGCGGTAGCAAGAGCTGCCCGGACCGGGAACCGAACCAGCACTGTGACCGGGACCTAGACCAGGACCGGGACTCAAACTGGCAGGGCCCGACCTGCGTGGCTGGGCGCAGGGCACGCTCTTCAGCGCTCGATCCACTTTTTCGTACTCGACACGGCAGCGGAAAGGCTCCCCGTCCCTGGGCGCCTTTGACTCAGCCCGCTGCTGCTGTTGGTTCTGCTGGTTATGACCCCACTGCTGGTTGTCGCTACACTGCTGTTGCTGCTGATGATTCTGCCGCTCTTGCTGCTGCTGCTGCCGCCACTGGCTTGTGAGGGGTCTGTGAGGGGTGAGGCACAGCGGCACTGTGGGCGGCCCGAGGCTCACCGACACGCTGCCTCGGCCCGTGGCGTTGTGCCGAAAGTGCACGCTCACTGAGCCGTTGCCGTGGTCCACCATCTTCGCCGTGATGAGCACCTGGAGCCGGGACGTGCGGATGCTGGCGCTGAAGTCCCCCCAGCTGAACAGCTTTCGGGGTCTGCCGCCTGGATCAGGAGCGGCGCTGGAACCTGCACCCTGACTGAATCCGTGCACGTGCACCGCTCGGAGCCGCCGTCGATGCATCGAGATGACACTTGATGACGATGACGCTGTTGATGAAATTGCTGCTGATGATGGTGATGATTCTGTTGCTGCTGCTACGAGCGCTGTTGATGATGATTTTGTTGCTATTGCTCGCCCCGCAGATGTTATTTTATCTCCTGCTGCCGATAGGGTTGCCGATGATGGCGACCCATCTGCTGTCGCTGCTGCTACTACAACTGATGATCCTGTTGCTGATAAATCGTCAGTTGCTACAAGTGATGATAACCCTGATTCTGCTACTGTTAGTGCTGCCGATGCTGATATCAGTAACAAGGGCACGTGTTCCACGCAAGAGGCGCTGAAGTTCCCTTTGTGTGTCCCGCAGGGCTGGGAGACCCAGCCAGGGTCCCCGCGGGACTCGAGACTCGAACTCACGAGGATCCTCGTCTGTGCAGATTACAGCAAACGCGGTCGTCATCATCATCATCAACCACATACGATTATCATCAGTCAATCATCATTCACCATTCTCTTAAAACATAACGAATCACCACCACCACCATCATCATAACATAACAATAATTGTCATTCGCATTATTCAGCAATCGTCGTCAATGTTCACCAATACGAGAGCTATGGATACATGCGGGGGTCTCAGTTTGAACCTCGCGTGCACCGAAACGTCTCACTCTTAGCATCAATGTCGCGACAACACGGGGGGCATCTGGGTAGCAAGGGGTGGCTTGAGGTGCCTTGCAAAGGTGTCAACCACCCCCTCGGGCACTTACGGGCAGCAGCAGCTGCAGCAGCAGGAAGAAGATGAGAAGCAGCACAGCGATACGCCAAAGACGCCGACTCCGGGTGCACATGGTCATCGAACTGCCCCCCTTCCGATCCGAGTTGACGGCAGAGAGGATAGATCGCACGTGGACAGGGGTCGAGGTCACGGGTGGGGGCTAGAGGGCTTTACGCGCTGCCCACTTTGTCCTCACGCCAACTCCAGCGTGCGGCTCCTTCACCTTCCAGCGTTCTACTGTTTGGTGCTTTCGTTAAAGTCACGGAGGTGGGGAAAAAAACCCCAATATATCACGACGTTTCGATCGCAACAACAAGCGACCGTCTTCAGGTTGAGAGCGTTATCTCATAACGCCTCCTCCCCCCCCCCTCCCCCCAGGAGCTTCTCTCGGGGTGAGGGCAGCGATGGGATGGGGGTCGCTCCGTCCAGCGCCGATGCCTCCAACGCCTCTCCAGCAGCGTCTCTGTCTGCTCCCATGCGCTCGCTCACGATCCCTCCACCACTCTCACCACCTCCAGAAACAACCACGTGCCCAGCCCCCTCCGCCCGGCTCGTCTTCAACAATTAATTGGCCTCTCTCCGGGGCGCCGCGTAACAAATTGGTGCGGAGATGCGTGCGTGAGCGACTGCGTTTCAATGTGAACGGGCATGCATGCGCGGCTATGGGGTGAGTGGTGGGACAGCGGCTAGCGCGCTGTGCGCTACGAACCCGACGAGACCCGGGTTCTATGCCCGCTCGCGGCCAACATCAGTGATGGTTATCTGAAACGGTCCGGGACTTCCTCCCCTAGGTCGACTCAGCCTAAAATGAGTACCTGGTGCGGTGTGTAGAAACATCGCCACTGGGGAGACAAAGGCGACCGGGCGTGGTCATGGCTACCCACCCCCTCGTGTGCCGTGCCAGCCTTCATAGGTGCTCGCTAACAGCACTTGGCCCAACAGTCTGTTAAGGCTACACGGGTGATCTTTGTCTTGCGCGGGTAGGAGGAGTGGTGGCACAGCGGTTAGCGCACTGTGCTATGAACCTGACGATCGGGGTTCAATTCCCGCTCATTCATCAGCGACAAATATCTTAACCAGTTATGGGCTTCCCCTAGGGCATCGCTGATAGGAATACAAAGGCGGCCGTGCGTGGTGTTGACGACCAACCCCCTCGTGTGCCATGCCGGTTTTCATCGGTGCTCGCTGACAGCACTTGCCCCAAAAGTCTGTTGAGGCTATAAGGTGGATGTGCATGTTGTGCCTTGATGTAGCTGTTTGGTCTGGCTATCGGTGTGGGTGTGCTCTGCTTACCTAATCCGTTTTCGTGATGTCTGTGCCTCTGCTTGTGTGCATTTGTATGGTTTGTGTGGCATGGCTGCGTACCTGTGTTTGTGCTTTTACGTGTACGCGTGTGTGCTTGGTGACTATCGAAGTACATTACTTACAGCATTTGGATGTATTGGCGGTACCACATTGGTGCAGCATAACAACACACCGGGTCCTCATAAAACAGTCTAACGATGTCGCTGTTGCCCCTTGATTGAGCTGCAGGACTCTCCATGAGAAGTTGCCTTAGATTGAGCAGCCACTAAGTGACGGTGATGCCACCACGGCCCCTTGTACCAGGCTACGTGCAATTTGAAGCCAAATTAAGTGTGGAAAGCTTGCTGACAGGAGGTCATGGGACAGACCCAGGTGTTACGGTTTGACCGAGACTATTGGCAGCTGACACACATGCTCATAACTGGAGCATGTCCCTTTGTGAAGCTTCATCTGACTTTTAATGTTTCCTTTCAATTTTCTTTGCTCTTTTTTTCCCCATGCCACGTGCATTGGAGCCACATTCGGCACGGTGCACAACGTCAATCGTCAATCAACCAAGCATACCGCAGGTGACTGCCCAATACACCGCACACATCCTGGTGGTGTATTGGGCATACCACAGATAACAAGCAGCCTCCACTCGGCTACCATCCCAGATGCAGTGGAATATCTTATAAAATAAAATATACAATTGTAGCCTGCTGTTTTTTTCAAACACGGTGCAAAAGAAGAATTGATGTTACCCTTTGTTTATCCAAGAGATTAAATGATACTCTTTGCTTTTTTCGGTAAAGTCACGTAGGTAAAACAAAATTTAAAATAAAAGAAAACTAAATTAAATCACGACGTTTCGGAGGCAACACAAGCTTCCGTCTTCAGGTGGAACAGTCACAGCAAGATAGCTGCAAAAAAACAAAGAGTATGAATCCTTGCAGTCACGAAAGCTTCAAATCTAGATTAAATAATCTAGATTAAATAATCTTGATTTGAGGCTTTCGTGACTGCAGGAATCCATACTCTTTGGTTCTTTCGGTAAAGTCACGTAGGTAGAAAATAAAATAAATTACGACGTTTCGGGCGCAACACACGCGTCCGTCATCAGGTGGGAAAGCGTGGTCTGCTGCTGAGGCAGACTGTTTTAAAAGGTTTGAAATGGGTGTAGCTCAAGGGTTATAAAGAAGTGGCCGGGGCTAGTGATGTTAATGTGAGAAATTAGAATGTAACTGTAAGATAGGAGAGCGGCCTTGAGCTACACCCATTTCAAACCTTTTAAAGCAGTCTGCCTCAGCAGCAGACCATGCTTTCCCACCTGATGATGGACGCTTGTGTTGCGCCCGAAATGTCGTGATTTATTTCATTTTATACCTACGTGACTTTACTGAAAGAACTAAAGAGTATTCAATATACTCATTGAGATACGTGAAACGATGTTGCCTCTCTTGCGAGGATATTCTTCTTTCGTATGACTGATGTAGATGCAGAGCAACAACTACAATTTCACATTGAGGTGGTTAAGCCAGATAACCCCGTCAGGAGCAGCGGAGTGTTTTCGCTGCAATGTCTCCTTCGTATATTTGTGGATCGGGCATTGCGTTATTATATATTTTGTACGGTCTTTTCTGAATGATCACAGTCGCACACTGGAGAGTTTATTTTTCATTTGTGCATCAGGTATTCACATCTGCCATAGTTTGTGCAATGGATACGAGTTATTGTGGACCATGAGCTTCGTGGAAGAACAAAGCCAAGGAATCTTTTGCATTGGGTCTTTCACAAGGTGTTTGTTTGTGAGTTGTTTTAAACTACATTTAGCTCTCCAAGCTTAATTGGGATTGATCTCGCATCGTTGAAGGTTAAGCGCACGGGTCCAGAAGGGCTTATGTGACTTCAAGCGATGACGAGGGACGTTATTGAGGTCGTGGTACTTCTGTAGTGGGTCCAACTGAGTCGCAGACTTACTTCTTAGAGGCAACACATTTATTACACCAAGACGAATACACAAAGGGGTAGCTGCCCCTTTACCAGATAACAGCCTAGGGCGGTGAACGACCCGGCTAACTACACTAACACACTGGGAGTTAGCTACAATGGACTGGACCCCGGCTCGGGTTCCGGACCACGTGTTGGAGACTCTTCTGGACGTAGAACGTAGATCTTCAGATGACGCTAACAACAACCAACCCCGGCCCCTACGGGGACCTGGCATATATGCTCCCGGGTTAGGGCCGGCTCCGCCCTTGGCCCCGCCCACCTTCGAGAGAGCTCTGGCTCTCTCTCGACTCTTCTTGAGACAACTTTCCCGGACATGTGACCACCCCTTAGCCCTCACCTGGGGCCCCCCCTGTAGACTCTACCGGTCACGTTTCTTCGGGGTCAACCAGAGTGCCATGGCCCAGGGTAACCCTGTCCCTGGGCTGATACTCTCCCACTCCGTCCGGTGGGAGACATCACTGCACGCCACGCGTGGTGCCACTGCGCTATCCCAGTTCTCACCGAGCCCTCACTAGGGCTGGTACTACACCCACTTACGGAGTGTCCGTGATGATGGTGCGTCGCACGCCGTGCCTCGCTAGAGCCGGCAATACTTGGTGACATCTGCGATGCTGCTGCATAAGTGATGTCCGCAATGTGAGTACATCAGATGCCATGCCCCTTTAGGGCCGCCACCATACAGTGACATCCGCGATGTCACTACATCACCCCCCCCCCCCCCCCCCCCCCTTCGTAGCACACAGCCGTCCCGGCTGTCAACTACCCCCTTAAAACGAACCAAGTGAGTAAAGCGATAAAAGGGCGAACAATTACCAATAAATACCCAAACCACGTATACAATAATTACACTATGAACAAATATACATAACCAACGGGGAAAGAGGGCGGAAGCCCGAACAATAACGCGAGAGAAGAGAAATAAAAAACGAAAACACGCGAACGCTCGGAATCCCTGTACTCACCAACACCTCCCACCTTCAGCGTATAACAACGCCCATGAGAACAATAACGGCTAGGTTCAGCCAATAGCCGCCATGACCCAACGAGCGCGATAAGCAACTGACAGTGTGGCAACGTGTTTGCATGGGGATCATGAAAACCGAGTCTTTGAGCAAGTCCGTGTTGCCGGGCCCCCAGGGGAGGTGGGCTCGCTCACCCTGGAGGTCCAGGGGAGAATATGCACATGTCCCGCGAACCCAGCTCCCCACGAAGAGTAGTAGACCGGATAGACGGGTCCTCCTCGTCCGAAGCCAGCAAAGCCGGCACAGGCGGCTGCCTGGGAGACGTCATGCACGTGGCACCTGAGGACGGAACAAAATCACTCCGCTGAGGACCAACCTCAGCGGGTACACACCCCGGTTCGTCGGACACACTCGACACTCAGCCCCTGCAGTATGGAGATGATACGAACTCACACGGAGCAATAAATGGCTTCAGGCGAGAGGGATGTACGAACCAACTCCGCCGTCCCAAGCGGATCTGGACATACTGCGGCCGAACAACCTGAATGACATCAACCGGCCCTCTCCAGGGTTTGAAATTTTTTGGCGACGTACCCACCGGTACCTGTGGACAGTGCAACCAGGCTCTGTCCCCAGGTACCCACTCATGCGTAGAAGTACGAACCGCCTTAAGCCGCTCATTGGCTAATTGGCGCGATTCGGAATTTACCCTGGAAGCTTCCCATGCCTCGGAAAGCTTTTGAAGGGTGAAGCGCAAAGAGTCCGAAATCTTAGATTTAGCCCTGTTGGGTGCGGCTTGTAACTGAACATCAATCGGGGGATCGTGTTCCCTTCCATGCATTAAAAAAAACAGTGAGTAGCTGGTGGATGCGTGAGGGGCCATCTTATAAGCGGCCAGGACTGCAGGGATGTGTAAGTCCCAATCGAGTTGGGACTCACTGACCTGATGGCTTAACATAGAGGTCAGAGTCCTATGCAGCTGCTCAACCATGCCAACCGTCTGCAGGTGGTACGGTGACGTGCGTACTTTCTTCGAGCCCAACAAATCGCAAACTTCACGCAACAATTTAGAAGAAAAATGATTGCCCTGATAGGTCAAAAGACGTTCGGGAGCACCCTTGCCCATTACATAACCATTGAGGAATGGTTGGGGAGCGGCCAGGCCACGGGCCAGCGTGAAAAATACTCGACTCCCACAAGCTTATTCCCCCAGGGGTAGTGGGAAACGGACCAAAGATGTCCAGAGCAACAAGTTCGTTAACACGTGAAACCTGAATTGATTGTAATGGTGGGCAACAAGGTTTCGCCGGCGGCTTCCGCAGTGCACACTGC